TATATATATATATATATATATATATATATATATAGTGTGTAGTTGTCTAACTCCAGAGCCCTAAGTGTCATTTCTGTCTGCTGCTTCATTCCTCTGCTATCTGCATGAATCCTTTCTGACAAGTTTTCCTGACACCCAGAGAAAAATGGTGACAGGGGAGGGACCTCCAGCACATTGACAGCCTCAGCTCTGTTTTTGTGAGCTTTGTGAAGGGGGTATGTTGCTTCCCTCTAATCAGCTCTCAGAGCTCTCCTCACTGATGTAAATTCAGCTCGCCAACCTCCTGCATTTCAGAGCTGAGAGATCCTGTGTAAATTCTGCACTTCCAAGGCGGAAGAGAAGAGAAAGCTGTAGATAAACAGGTACAACTTATGTAGGAGAATTTATTTCTCCTCTGTGCATCACCTGAGGCCCATTACTCCACTGGGTATATGTAAGGGTTTACAACCACTCTAAAAGAATTCGACTATTTTCAGCAATAACTGCCAATGAGAGCCTAAATTAAGGCTACTTTCACACTGAGGAGTTTTTGAAAAAAAAAAAAAAAAAAGCACCTGAAAAGCTCAAGAAAAATTCTTCCCAATGTTTGTCTATGTATGTTTTCACACTGGAGCGTTGCAGTTCCATTGCGCTGTAATAACTCCTACTTGCAGCATCTTTGCAGCAAGTTTGTTCAGTTATTAATACCACCCCAAAAACGCCTCTTCCCATTGAAATCAATGGAAAGTGCCTGAAAAACGCCTCTGCCTTTTTGGTGCAGTTTGTAAGTCAAATGTCCTTTAACCACTTCCAGTCCGGACACTTTCACCCCCTTCCAGTCCGGACACTTTCACCCCCTTCCAGTCCGGACACTTTCACCCCCCCCTTTCCAGTCCGGACACTTTCCCCCCCTTCCAGTCCGGACACTTTCACCCCCTTCCAGTCCGGACACTTTCACCCCCCTTCCTGTCCAGGCCAATTTTCAGCTTTCAGCGCTGTCACACTTTGAATGACAATTGCTCGGTCATGCAACACTGTACCCATATGAATTTTTTAGCATTTTTTTGAGACAGATAAAGCTTTATTTTGGTGGTATTTATTCACCACTGGGATGTCTATTTTTTTTGCTATATAAATGAAAAAGTCCAAACATTTTGAAAAAAAGTGTTTTTCTTATAAAAATTTACAAATAAATATTTCATCATAAATCTTGGCCAACATTTATTCAGTTATCTTTTTAGTAAAAAAAAATAACCCAAAATTAGTTTATAACCCAAAATTATAATTTTTTAAACTTTTACATTTTTATTTTATATTATTATCTCTACATACTGTCACCCTAGCAGTACAGTGTCGCCATGGTGACACTGTACTACTTGTGGGGGGTGATGAAGATTTTTTTTTTTTTTTTTTTTTACACTGATTGCTTTTACACCCATAACGGCTGTAAAAGTAATCATTTCTCTTTCCCTCTGGCTACATTCTTGTAGCCATTGAGAACTACTGTGTGAGCTGTGATTGGAGCTGTGAAGGCTGTTGTGAATAGCCCTGTACCATGTGATCTCTGTGATCATTCACAGATTTCACACGTAGTAAGCAATGATGTCAGAAGTCTCATCTTGCTTACTACTCTGCATGTGATCACTGATTGGCCAATCAGTGATCACACGATCGGGACTTCAGAGGTCCCGTACGACGATCGGTGTTCCACTGTGTCCGGAGGACACAACGGGCACCGAATCGCGGTGCTGCATGCTCCCTCCAGAATGGCGGGTAGCGTTTATGAACGGCATCCCGCCCCTGGACTGCCACTGTCCCGCCGTTTATATACAGAGGCCGGACGGCAAGTGGTTAAATAAAACCACTCAAAGCGCGGCAAAAATGCATGCGTTTTTGCGGCGGATCAGTCAGTGTGAAAGTAGCCTAAAGAGACACATGGCTGAAAAGAAGGATTGCTACAAATTAGAAAATGAAGCCTATGGTCCTTTTTTTGGAAGGAATACCCAACTGCAAATTTAAGCAGTCCAAGGCAATCTGTGCCGCCAACAGAACATTAAATCCTAGACCATGCAAACCGACAACCACAATAAAATGGCGTGATAAATCTGATTGACATTTGCAGTGTCAGATGTACCTTTCCTGCAACAAACCAGATTTATAAATCCGCCTCTAGTAAGGTCAGACAGGGAGCACCTCCTTTCCCCATGGCCGCCCGACAACGTAGATAGCAAGGAGATGGCTGCTGGATAACTGGAACTTATCTTGCCTCCAAAAGACTTGTCCAAGACGAGAGGTAGCAGGAGGAATGAAGAGGGATGGGTGACACGCTTGGCTTCCCTCGGCATTCCCAGGGACTGCTTGTCTTGGGTAAGTGCTTGGAGCGGAGACAAGTGCCGGGTATGGTGCAGCCATCTCTTTGGCAGCTATGTCGGCTGTGAGGAGAGGAGGGCAGTCTGACAAAGTATTAAAACATCAAACAGCGCAAATAAAATACAATAAATATTAAAGGAAAGAAATAATCAAAAAAAACTTATAATACATAAAAATACAAAGTATATAAAAAAATTATATAAATTAAATAGAATAGTCCCACTCCAAATTATTAAGATGAATAAAATATAGTTGAAAAGTCCTACTTTAAAATAACCTTTGACCCGTGTTAGTGCTCAGATAACATACCGCACTCACCAGATATTGGTGAAAAAAAAAAAACGCCTTTTTAGGGTTAAAAAGGCGGGTTTTTTTCACCAATATCTGGTGAGTGTCTCAGCCAATGAGAAAGGGAGAGACCGAGGAGAGACAAGGCTCTTATTCACATCACTGGATTGGCTCAGGTGAGTATAAAGGAAGGCTGAAGGGGGAGCTGGGTTAAAAAGGTGTTTATTTCACCAATATCTGGTGAGTGCGGTACGTTATCTGAGCATTAACATGGTGTCAACATGGGTCAAAGGTTTTTTGGAGAAGGACTTTTCAACTATACTTTATTCACCTTATTCATCCTAATAATTTGGAGTGGTACTAGTCTATTTAATTTTTATAATTTTTTTATATAATTTTTTATTTTTATATATTATAAGTTTTTTTGGATTATTTCTTTCCTTTAATTTTTTTTTGTATTTTATTTTTGATCTTTAGTGTAAACACCGAAAAAATATTAAAACATCAAACAGTGCAAATAAAATACAATAAATATTAAAAGAAAGAAATAATCCAAAAAACTTATAATACATAAAAATACAAAATATATAAAAAAAATTATAAAAATTAAATAGAATAGTCCCTCTCCAAATTATTAAGATGAATAAAATATAGTTGAAAAGTCCTTCTCCAAAAAGCCTTTGACCCGTGTTGAAGCTCAGATAACATACCGCACTCACCAGATATTGGTGAAAAAACACCTTTTTAACCCTAAAAAGGTTTTTTTTTTTTTCACCAATATCTGGTGAGTGCGGTATGTTATCTGAGCATTAACATGGTGTCAACACGGGTCAAAGCTTTTTTGGGCAAGGACTTTTCAACTATATTTTATTCACCTTATTCATCCTAATAATTTGGAGTGGGACTAGTCTATTTAATTTTTTTTATATATTTTTTATTTTTATGTATTCTAAGTTTTTTTGGATTATTTCTTTCCTTTAATATTTATTGTATTTTATTTGCGCTGTTTAGTGTAAACACCAAAAAAATATTAAACCAGCAAACAGCGCAAATAAAATACAATAAATATTAAAAGGAAAGAAATAATCCAAAAAAACTTAAAATACATAAAAATACAAAATATAAAAAAAATTATAAAAATTAAATAGAATAGTCCCACTCCAAATTATTAGGATGAATAAGGTTAATAAAATATAGTTGAAAAGTCCTTCTCCAAAAAAAACCTTTGACCCTGTTCTATTTAATTTACATAATTTTTTATAATAGTCCCACTCCAAATAATTAAGATGAATAAAATATAGTTGAAAAGTCCTTCTCCAAAAAAACTCTGACCCATTTTGACACCGTATTAGTAATCAGATAACATACCGCACTCACCAGATACTGGTGAAAAAAAAAAACGCCTTTTTAGGGTTTTTTTCACCAATATCTGGTGAGTGCGGTATGTTATCTGAGCACTAATACGGTGTCAACACGGGTCAAAGGTTTTTTTGGAGGAGGAATTTTCAACTCTATTTTATTCATCTTAATAATTTGGAGTGGGACTATTATAAAAAATTATATAAATTAAATAGAATAGTTATCTGGTGAGTGCGGTATGTTATCTGAGCACTAACATGGTGTCAACACGGGTCAAAGGTTTTTTAAAGAAGGACTTTTCAACTATATTTTATTCACCTCATTTCATCCTAATAATTTGGAGTGGGACTATTCTATTTAATTTATATAATTTTTTATACATTTTGTATTTTTATTTGTTATATTTTTTTGGGGATTATTTCCTTTCTTTAATATTTATTGTATTTTATTTGCGCTGTTTGATGTTTTAATATTGTTTTGGTGTTTACACTAATGAGCAGCAGCATTTATTTAGGAATTATTTCACATTTTTATGGCGCTGGTGATTTTTTGTATATAATCTGACAAAGTAGCTAGCAAAGAGATGGCCTTGTAGCTAGACTTACAAAGCATGTAAGAACATGGGGCAAAACACGGGAGATGTACTTCGCACTGAAAAAAATGAAGTCAGAGTTCTTTCTTAAAATCTGGCCACGTATAAAAATAAACAAAATAAAATTCTGAGCCTTCAGCTGGCAATATAAAAAACGCACAGGTCTAATGCATGGGGGTTGAGGCTTTCAATAAATAATGGAGAAACTTTGTTCAAAAAAAAAAAAAAATGGCTACAGATTGATGGGGATTGGGGGGGGGGGGGGGGTCTACTTTAAGTACCACTGCAGCTTGATGTATCAGGGCCATGATATACACAACACAAACCATAACATTCATGTGATACAGTAATATCAGAAATCATCCATTGAACCATCAATCGTCCAAGATCTGCCGGTCAATAAAATACTCACTGTTCGGTCTTCTAAGTACATTGTTTTTGATAAGAAGTCAATACCAATTGTTGCCTAAAATTAAAAAAAAAAAAAAAAAAGATTTTAACAGCATGACCATTTCATTCTCTAAATTATATTTTCCGTGACGAAATCTAACAAAAGAAAAGTAAAACAAAAAAAAAACAGAAAAAAAAAAAAAAAAAAAAAAAAAACCCTCTTTGGCCTCATTCAGATTGCCGTCCAGCTGAAAAAGCGACCTGTGGTGGATCGTTTTTTAGAGGGTGAGAGGCGATATATCACCTCCTCACTGCTCGTTTTAACCTGAAAAAAGCTGAACCTCTGCGCAGAAACTGCATGCAGCATACTATTGGATCACGTTGCTGGAAGTGCTGTCCGCCAAGGAGAAGGAGGAGGAGGAGGAGGAGAAGAGGAGGAGAAGGAAAGAGGAGGAGGGGGGAGGAGGAGGAGGAGGGGGGGGAGGAGGAGGAGGAAAAGGAGAGGGTGGGGAGGAGGGGGACAAAAAAAGAAAAGGAGGGGGAGGGGAGGAGGGGGAGGAGGGGGAGGAAGAGGAGGAGGGAGGGGGGAGGAGGAGGAGGAGGAGGAGGGGGAGGGAGGAGGAGGAGGGGGAGGGAGGAAGAGGAGGAGGGGGAGGAAGAGGAGGGGGAGGAGGGGAGGGAAGAGGAGGAGAAGGAAGAGAGGAGGAGGAGAAGGAAGAGGAGGGGGGAGGAGGGAGGAGAAGGAAGAGGAGAGGGGAGGAGGAGGAGAAGGAAGAGGAGGGGAGGAGGAGGAGAAGGAAGAGGAGGGGGGGGAGGAGGGTGGGAGGAGGAGGAGGAGGGGGGGTGGGGGGAGGAGGAGGAGGAGGGGTGGGGAGGAGGAGGAGGGTTGTGGGAGGAGGAGGGGGGGGGGTGGGGAGGAGGAGGAGGAGGAGGGGGGGTGGGAGGAGGGAGGAGGAGGGGAGGAGGAGAAGGAGGAGGAGGGGGGAGAGAGGAGGAGGGGGGAGAGAGGAGGAGGGGGAGAGAGGAGGAGGAGGGGGAGAGGAGGAGGAGGGGGGAGAAGGAGGGGAGGGGGAGGGGAGGGGGAGGATGAGGAGGGGGAGATGAGAAGGAGGAGGGGGATGATGAGAAGGAGGAGGGGAGGGAGGGGGATGATGAGAAGGAGGAGGGGAGGAGGGGGATGATGAGAAGGAGGAGGGGAGGAGGGGATGATGAAAGGAGGGAGGGGAGGAGGGGGGAGGGGGATGATGAGGAAGGAGGAGGGGAGGGGGGGATGATGAGAAGGAGGAGGGGAGGAGGGGATGATGAGAAGGAGGAGGGGAGGAGGGGGATGATGAGAAGGAGGAGGGGGGAGGGGGGATGATGAGAAGGAGGAGGGGGGAGGGGGAGATGAGGATGAGGAGGGGGAGGGGGAGGAGGGGGATGAGGGGGGAGGATGAGGAGGGGGAGGATGAGGGGGGGGGGGGAGGGGGAGGGGGGGAGGGGGAGGAGAAGTCCAGTCTGCTATATTTTATATGAAAAAGTCTTGTGGTTGCAACAATGTACCCTTTTGTATCCAAATAAAAACACATTGTAAATCCAAATAATGTATTTGTATTGCTGTCACATTGTATGGTGTGCTCCCGTCTCTGCAAGGGACAGAAAATATGGGGTTAATGCAGGACTTAGAGGGGTTGAAAATCGGCCGATTTTTTTTAAAGTTGGTGGTAACGTTGGCCGACCCGATCGAACAACCGATTTTTCTTTTTTTTTTTTTTTTAAACCGGCCGATGTTCGACCCGTCTATGGCCTGCATTAGCCCCGGCGAGGATGCTAAAGTGAACCTGTATCCAATCTATGCATGTTAAGCAGTAAAAGCCCTTTAGAACAAGCCCTCATTCCTGTCTGTATAAACATTGTGGAGAAATTCATCTTTAAAGTTCACTACAGAGACAGAGAAATCACAACAATTTTCCCTTTTACTTTATTTTGTTTTTAAGCTGAACTCCAAGTGTGGTCTGTAGGCCTAGTTCCATTCATCCAGCTTGGCACAACATGTCACCCTGAGGGACAGAGGTGGGGGCTGACAATCACTGTAGTAGCCGGCACTACTACAGTGAAATCCGCACTCTAGCAGACCATGTGATGAGCTGCTTCCAATCAGCACACAGACCACAGCAGGCTGCTTGCAGAGCTTGAAAAGCAAAACTACCAGCAGTAGGTAGAATGTATGGAGTGGAAATGCTGATGAAGAGAACATCCTGGTGACACCTCGGGACCTTCCCACCCACCATGGTAATTAGGGTTTGCCCAACCTTAACCTACCGGTTTTTTTTCTCCATCTCCCAAGTTTTCTAATGGTGAGACACCTGCACAGAGCTCCCTGTCTGCACACCTGCTTTCACAGCATAGGGGGCTTCCACCATCTTTATGCACACCTGCTTATGCCTATATAAGGGGTTCCCACCATCCCTGCACCCAGGGGCAGACTGACAACTCAGGGGGCCCCCGGGCAATAGGGGATCATGGGGCCCCTGTGTCCTTGCCCAAACTCAAAAAAGCCTATGAAAAAGGTACCAGGGGTATCTCATGGGGCCCCCTACGGACCCCGGGCCCTCGGGCAGTGCCCGAGTTTCCAAATGGTCAGTCCGCCTCTGCCTGCACCAACTTCCCTGGCTCTCAAACCTGCTGTGTTTATTATAAGGGGGTTTCCAACAGGCTTGCACCAATTTCCTCGATCTGCACACTTGCTGTGCCCATTATGAGTGGTTCTCCCACCATCCCTGTGCGAAGTTCCTGGGTTTATACACTGCTGTGCCCATTATGAGGGGTTCCCCATCCCTGCGTGGAGTTCCTGGGTTTATACACCTGTTGTGCCCATTATGAAGGGTTCCCACCATCCCTGTGCTGAGTTCCCAGGTCTGTACACCTGCTGTGCCCATTATGAGGGTTCCCACCATCCCTGTGCTGAGCTCCTGGCTCTGTACACCTGCGGTGTTCATTATGAGCGGTTCTCACCATCCCTGTGCTGAGTTCCCGGATCTGTACACCTGCTGTGCCCATTATGAGCGGTTCTCACCATCCCTGTGCTGAGTTCCCGGGTCTGTACACCTGCTGTGCCTATTATGAGGGTTCCCACCATCCCTGTGCTGAGTTCCCAGGTCTGTACACCTGCTGTGCCCATTATGAGGGGTTCCCACCATCCCTGTACTGAGTTCCCAGGACTGTACACCTGCTGTGCCCATTGAGGGGCTCCCACCATTCCTGAAAGATTTAGGTTATGAAGAATGCAAGAAAATGTGGAGAAAAGACAGGAAATACGACAGCGAGCTCTCACCTTGGAGTCACTAGGAATTATAATGCCCAATAGATGACTTTGCCCACCGAGATCCACTTATAATTGAAATATCACAAAATCTGGTTGCAGCCAAAACATTGTAGCCGTTTCCTAAACCTACTGCTAAGAATAGTCGCTAATTGTAGCAATTGTGTACACAGAGATGGGCGAGGTCATCCATCTTACTAAGGATCCTCCATCTTGTATCATTTCTACTCCCAAATCAGCTTCCCTCCAATTTCCCCCTTCCCTTAGGAATGTGGTCTGTATGATGCAGAGATCACAGGCACAGTGGGAGAGCTGCATGGTTATAAATCACACACTAGCTGGTGCCCGGGTGTCTGTTAGCTTCTCAATCTGAGATATCGTAAAACCATAAAACCAGTCCTTCGCTGAGCTTCAAAGACATTCCAGCTAGCTGTAAAACAGACTCACATTTAAAAATCCCCTTTCCATATAATTTTATATCTGGAGATATGGAAGACTTACAAGGAAACCAGGCATATATTCAGATCAGTCACTTTATTACAAGTCGTCTGATATATTACACCCCCTAGCTGAAATCTACAGGAGAGCAGAAAATAATATCTCCTTAACCGTCCCAAGGAGGTATGTCATATTTAATATCTAGACGTTCAGCAAAAGCTTCTGTATATTAATCTACTATTGGCTAGGCTGCTACGTGCACCGAGGGTAAGTTATGGATCATGATAAAAACTGAGAGGGATTTTGGTTCTAGCTTGGGTCTCCGCCTGCAACACACCCTCCCAAATGAGGCGATTGGTTCTCTGCTTCAAGGAGACACCCTGCTGAGTTCCTAGAAAGGCTGTTATGCTTGGAGCAGAGAGTTAAGTTAACCACTTCCTGTCCAGACACTTTTACCCCTTCCTGTCCAGGGCAATTTTTAGCTTTCAGCGCTATCACACTTTGAATGACAATTGCGCGGTCATGCAATACTGTACCCATATGAATTTTTTTTTACCATTTTTTTGAGACAGATAAAGCTTTATTTTGGTGGTATTTATTCACCGCTGGGATTTTTATTTTTTTTACTATGTAAATGAAAAAGTTCAAAAATTTTGAAAAAAAGTGTTTTTTTTAAATAAAATTTTGCAAATAAATAATATTTCATCATAAATCTTAGCCAAAATTTATTCCGTTATTTTTTTAGTAAAAAAAAAAATCCAAATTAGTTTATAACCAAAAATTATAATTTTTAAACATTTTTTTTTACATTTTATTTTATTTTTTTTTTATTATTATTATTATATTTTTTTTTTTTACATACTGTCACCCTAGCAGTACACTGTCACCATGGTGACACTGTACTACTTGTGGAGGGTGATAAAGATTTTTTTTTTTTTTTTTTTTACACCGATTGCTTTTACACCCATATAGGATGTAAAAGCAATCATTTCTCTTTCTCTCTGTCTGCATTCTTGCAGTCATTGAGAATTACTGAGTGAGCTATGAGTGGTCACAGCTTGTCACATGGTACAAGGCTGTTGTGAATAGCCTTGTACCATGTGACCTCTGTGATCATTCACAGATTTCACACATAGTAAGCAATGATGTCACAAGTGACATCTTGCTTACTACTTTGCATGTGATCACTGATTCGCCAATCAGTGATCACATGATCGGGACCTCTGTGTCCGACGATCGGTGTTTCACTGTGTCCGGAGGACACAGCGGGCACCGGATCGCGGTGGTGCGCGCTCCCAGGGAGCGCGCACAGCTAGAAAAGGCGGGTGCCGTTTATGGACGGCAACCCGACCCTGGACTGCCACCGCCCTGCCGTTTATAAACAGCAGGCGGACGGCAAGAGGTTAAGAGGAGTAGGTCGTGTGGAAGTTGAAGAATTCTCCCTTTTAACATCGGAACCAACTTTGGGAGAAACGGTGCCCTTTTGCTCTGACACTTAACCCAGGACTTTTAGCAAGTACTCTATCTCTCTAAACCTCTTTCTGTTATCTCTTTGTTGTGTTATTGCTCTTTGTATATTTATATATATATACATATATACAGTGGGGCAAAAAAGTATTAGTCAGCCACCAATTGTGCAAGTTCTCCCACTTAAAAAGATGAGAGAGGCCTGTAATTGGCATCATAGGTAGACCTCAACTATGAGAGACAAAATGAGAAAACAAATCCAGACAATCACATTGGCTGATTTGGAAAGAATTTATTTGCAAATTATGGTGGGAAATAAGTATTTGGTCACCTACAAACAAGCAAGATTTCTGGCTCTCACAGGCCTGTACCTTCTTCTTTAAGAGGCTCCTCTGTGCTGCACTCATTACCTGTACAAATGGCACCTGTTTGAACTTGTTATCAGTATAAAAGACACCTGTCCACAACCTCAAACAGTCACACTCCAAACTCCACTATGGTGAAGACCAAAGAGCTGTTGAAGGACACCAGAAACAAAATTGTAGACCTGCACCAGGCTGGGAAGACTGAATCTGCAATAGGCAAGCAGCTTGGTGTGAACAAATCAACTGTGGGAGCAATAATTAGAAAATGGAAGACATACAAGACCACTGATAATCTCCCTCGATCTGGGGATCCATGCAAGATCTCACCCCGTGGGGTCAAAATGATCACAAGAACGGTAAGCAAAAATCCCAGGACCACACGGGGGGACCTAGTGAATGACCTGCAGAGAGCTGGGACCAACGTAACAAAGGCTACCATCAGTAACACACTTCGCCGCCAGGGACTCAGATCCTGCAGTGCCAGATGTGTCACCCTGCTTAAGCCAGCACATGTCCGGGCCCGTCTGAGGTTTGCTAGAGAGCATTTGGATGATCCAGGAGGATTGGGAGAATGTCATATGGTCAGATGAAACCAAAATAGAACTGTTTGGTAGAAACACACCTCGTCGTGTTTGGAGGAGAGAGAATGCTGAGTTGCATCCAAAGAACACCATACCTACTGTGAAGCATGGGGGTGGCAACATCATGCTTTCGGGCTGTTTCTCCGCAAAGGGACCAAAAAGACTGATCCATGTACAGGACAGAATGAATGGGGCCATGTATCGTGAGATTTTGAGCGCAAACCTCCTTCCATCAGCAAGGGCATTGAAGATGAAACGTGGCTGGGTCTTCCAACATGACAATGATCCCAAACATACCGCCTAGACAACGAAGGAGTGGCTTCGTAAGAAGCATTTCAAGGTCCTGGAGTGGCCTAGCCAGTCTCCAGATCTCAACCCCATAGAAAACCTTTGGAGGGAGTTGAAAGTCCGTGTTGCCCAGCGACAGCCCCAAAACATCACTGCTCTAGAGGAGATCTGCATGGAGGAATGGGCCAACATACCAGCAACAGTGTGTGCCAACCTTGTGAAGACTTACAGGAAACGTTTGACCTCTGTCATTGCCAACAAAGGATATATAACAAACTATTGAGATGAACTTTTGATATTGACCAAATACTTATTTTCCACCATAATTTGCAAATAAATTCTTTCCAAATCAGCCAATGTGATTGTCTGGATTTTTTTTCTCATTTTGTCTCTCATAGTTGAGGTCTACCTATGATGCCAATTACAGGCCTCTCTCATCTTTTTAAGTGGGAGAACTTGCACAATTGGTGGCTGACTAAATACTTTTTTGCCCCACTGTATGTTGGCTACATTTTTTTCTGTAATTATTTTTATTGCACCCTTTTGACCTTTTAGTAATAAATCTTACTTTCTGAAAGTGTTGAACTGTTTCTAAAGCTCTTTAATGCAACCTAAGAATCCCTGTCTCTGAAGAGCGCTACTGTGTGTTTTAAAACATCTGCATACATCTGTCTGCGGTGACATTGTGTATACAATTATTCAAACATCATAGTGTTATTGCTAGTATTGCCGAGTTTCCTCTTTCTCTGTATAAAAAGGAGGTGGTGGCAGTGTGAAGGGTTAATTGCGTAATTAACCTGACACAGTAACAATCACTCCCAGGCTGCAGGTACACAGATTGTGGTCCATTAGCTGGAAAATCTTTATGCAGGGTGCAGCCGGGGGCGTAGAATTGTTACACACGTGACAGCGCGGTTTTAGATTGGTTAGTCCTTCGGTCACGAGTTTGGTGAGAAGGGCTGGGGTCTGACGCTGCGATCATCACACTAATAGCTGGCTAATTTTATTGAAACATCAGAACCCTATAATGTGAGCATAAAGGAACACAAGACTGGAGGACTACAGTTCACAAAATAGGTGACGCCATATTATTACAGGTACTTATATAGCAAAGTCAATGTATGCAGATCTTTACATATATTGTACATTCACATCAGTCCCTAACCCTCAAGGGGCGTACAATCTAAGGTCCCTAACTCACATTCATACATACACATACTACGGACAATTTAGACAGAAGCCAATTACTATCATGTATTTGGAATATGAAAGAAACTGGAGTACCTGGAGAAAATCCACACAGGCACAGGGAGAACATGCAAACTCCAAGCAGGTGGTGCTGTAGTTGGGATTAAAACCAATGACCCCAGTGCTGCCAGGCGGAAGTGCTAACCACTTAACCAATGTGCTGCCCATAGCACTTCCTAAGGGGGCCACAGACTCACACAGATGCCCCAGATGGCTAATTCAGCTGCTCGGGGGAAGGCGGATCATTCATGCATGTCTGAGTGGCTAAACTATTGGGCCAACAAAAAGGAAACAGCCAGATAGGGCAACTATTAACTCTTTCCTGTGTAGGTACCGTTATAAGAAGACAATTCAGAACCGGGTACAAGTGACAGATGGCTAATGTGTTACACTGGCATACGGGATTACCTGGTAGGTGTTGTCGAAGCTGTCATACATGAACCTCGTGATTAAAGATGTTTTTCCAACTAGAAGAAAGCAAGAAAAAAAAAAATTAGGATAGCAAACAATAACAGGCAATGGCAGTCAGGTAGAAAGTTCATTCTTACAAATGGGAAATGGAGGGACAGGTCGGAAGGGGTTGGATTGCAGGTGACCTACAACCACAATTCCCAAAAAGTTGGGGCTACTGTGTAAAAATCTACATTATTATTATAATACAGGATTTATATTGTGCCAACAGTTTGCGCAGCGCTTTACAATATAAGGCAGACAGTACAATTACAATACATTTCAGTACAGAAGGAATATGGGGGCCCGGCTCGTGGAGCTTACAATCTAAAGGAAGGGGGAGGTGATACAAAAGGTGATAGCTGCGGGGGATGATCTGGTGGAGGTGATTCAAGTACAGTTCTTAGGTGGAGGTGGGGTAGGCTTCCCTGAAGAAGCGAGTTTTCAAAGATCGCCTAAAGGCAGACAGGGTGCTGGCTGACCGGACATGCTGTGGTAGGGAGTTCCAGAGGATGGGAGAGGCTCTGGAGAAGTCCTGGAGGCGAGCGTGGGAGGAGGTGATGAGGGAGCTAGAGAGGAAGATATCTTGGGAGGAGCAGTGTGGGCGATATCTGTGGATGAGGTTGGCGATGTAGCTAGGGGCAGTGTTGTGGATGGCTTTGTAAGCTGTGGTTAGTATTTTGAATTTTATACGTTGGGTTAGTGGAAGCCAGTAGAGGGATTGGCAGAGAGGGGCAGCAGTCGCTGATCGGTGGGTAAGGTGTATGAGTCTAGCAGCAGCATTCATAATAGACTGAAGGGGAGATAGCCTGTGTAACGGTAGACCAGTGAGGAGGGAGTTGCAGTAATCGACGCGGGATATAACCAAGGCGTGGAGAGTTGTTTTGTGGTGTCATTGGTCAGGAAGGGGCGGATTTTGGAAATGTTCTGGAGGTTGAAGCGGCAGGAACATAAAAACAGAATGCATTGTTTTGCAAATCTAATAAACCCATATTTTATTCACAATGAAAAAAAAAAAAAAAAAAATTCAAAATGTTTAAAGTGGAGTTCCAGCTGAAAAAAAAATAAAAAAGGTCAGCAGCTACAAAAACTGTAGCTGCTGACTTTTAAAAATACAGCCACTTACCTGTCCCTCGGTCCAGCAGTGTCCTCAGCACAGCTAGTTTCACCGGCCATCTTCTCTCCCCGGCATCTTCAGTGTGGGCACCCGGCTGTGACAGCTTGAACATGCTCAAGAAGCTCTGCACTTTGTGAATGGCCCGTAGTCTTTTGGGACCCGTTACGTGTCTCAGAAGACTACGGTTAGGGAGGGAGGAGGACAACTCCCACTTCCGATCACCTTAGGCGATGGCAGCAGAAGTGGGAGCGGGTACCTGTCAAATTCGGGTACTCGCTCCCCATTGCTCCCCAAAGGTGCCAATCCTTAATGGGGACAAAGACTTAAAGTGGAACTTCCCCTTAAGGGTGGAGCTCCGCTGTAGCCTCCCTAGCGGTCTGATTATGTCTATATTTCTGTGCTCAAAGCGGTACATTTTTTTTGCATGGAAATATGTATTTTTTTTTTTTTTGTAGACCTGTAATTTTTAGGAATAACTCACTGAAATCTGTCCGAACAAGAGTCTAGTAAACATCCCGGGTATGATAAAACTTGAAACACGAAATCATAAATTATAATTTAATAAATAATTATAAAAAATAATAATATAATAATAATAAATTTAATTCAATAAATTATAATCAAACCAAAAACACTGAAATGTGAAATATAGCGCCAAGTTCGCACATCGCTGAGCAAAGTCGCAGAATCGTTTTCAGCGTCTGATGAGGAATTTCCCCCACGAATCATTATCACTCAATTTCTGCAAGTGGTTCTGATTTACTATCGCTTTTCTCTAGCCGGTCTAAAACCGCTTTTGACCTAAAGTGACGCTTTTTTGGACGCCATGGACATTTCTCAGTTTCCAGGCAGAAAGAACAGTAAAAACATGCAGGCAGGGCGCAGGACAAAGCACTCGGGACAAAATGTATGTGAAATGGGTTGAAACAGGAATGTTATACTATGTGATTTTAGTGAATGTCACTTTTCAAATTTCCCGCCGTTCCTTCCCCCGTACGTCCCGACGCTCGCAGGGAACGGAACCCGGAAGACAGATGCCGGCATCCGCCGGAGGACATTGCTGGGGACACTGCAGGAGGGACATCGCGGGAGCGCAGGACAAGTTAAGTGAAGAAGAGATCCCGGAGCAATGCTGCAGTGTATTCCCGAGTGTAGCTCGGGGTTACCGCTTGTGGTACTGAAACTTTACCCCGAGTTACACTCGGGAATACCGCCAGGGGGGTTAAAATGGAAATGTACCATTTGAAGAAAATTAAAAAAAAAAAAAAAAAAGTAATTTTGAAATGGATGGCAGCAACACATCTCAAAAAAGTTGGGACAGGGCAACAAAAAGTTGGCAATAATGTGGCACTAACAAGAAAGAGCTGGAACCTCATTTTGCAACTAATTAGGTTAAAGTAGAACTAGAAGTATTTTTTTTTTTCCATTTTGAATAAAGCAAGCGAGGGTCATAACCCCTGTCAGGTTTTCTTTTTTTTTTCTGCCATCTGTGTCCCATTGGGGAGATTTCCCTTCTCTTCCTGTCCCATAGTCAAACAGGAAGTGAGAAGAAATCCCTGCAAATTAAGGGAATCTCTTGGGGGCCCCCAGGTCACGAAAACTAGTGTCTCCATTGGAAGATTTCCCCTCTATTACTTTTCTGGGGAAAACCTAAAATTTGGGATTTTTGTTTACTTTCATCTTCAATGATAATGGTAAACAGGACAAATAGAAAAAAGTGAATTTCCATAACAGGGGACAGGACAGCAATAAAAACTGACAGGGGGTCTGGAGGCGCTATTCATCGCCTCCCGCAGTGACATCCAGGGGTGGACTGACCATTCAATCACTGCCCGAGGTCATTAGGGGGCCCCATGAAATGCCCCTGGTACCTTTTTAATAGGCTTTTTTGGGTGTGCTTTGAGTGTGGGCAAGGACACAGGGGCCCCATGATCCCCTATTGCCCGGGGGCCCCATGAGTTGTCAGTCAGTGTACACACAGACACACACGATTTTGCATATCTGGGTAGGGAGCATGCGCACCGTACCCGCGCCACCATTGGCGGCTTCACCTGTCGATCACCAGGACCCGGCCGGTGATTCCCCGCCGACGTATCACCAACGGGGAAGAGACCTGTAATTAAATAATACCGATCTCTCCCGTCAGATCCTACACCCTGCTTTACCCTACAAAGCAGTGTGCTTAAACAGTAAAGCACACAGAGCACACAGTTAACCCTTTTCTTGCCCCATATGTTAACCCCCTTCCTGCCCAGTGTCATTAGTACAGTGTCAGTGCTTTTTATTAGCACTGATCACTGTATTGGTGTCACTGGGGATGTCAGTGGCAGTTCGTTCCCCCCCCCAGTGTCAGAATGCCCACCGCAGTCCCGCTATAAGTCGCTGATCACCGCCATTACTAGTACAAAAAATAAAAAATTCCAGTATCTATACCGCCATTTGTAGACGCTATAACTTTCAAGTAAACCAATTAATTTTCACATATTGGGATTTATTTATTTATTTATTTTTTAGCAAAGACACTGAGCAGAATACATTTTGGCCTAAATTTATGACGAAATTTGATTTTTTTAAAAATTTTTCCTGGACATAATAGCAAAAACTCAAATATAGGGTTTTTTTTTTCTCAAAATTGTCAGTATTGTTTTTTTTTTTTTATAGCACAAAAAATAAAAACCGCAGAGGCAATCAAATACCACCAAAAGAAAGCTCTATTTGTGGGAAAAAAGGACATAAATTTTAATTGGGTGCAGCGTTGCATGACAGCGTAATTGTCAGTTAACCACTTGCCGACCGCGCATAGCCGAATGACGGCTTCACCGCGGCCGGCCAGTTCTGAGTGGACGTCATATGACGTCCTCCCAGAACGCGCTCTCCTGCGCGCCCCAGGGGGCGCGCAGGCGATCTCCGTGATCGCTGTGTCCTACGGACACAGCTGATCACGAGATGTGGTGAAAGGCCGATCCCACACGGCCTTTTACCACGTGATCAGCGGTGTCCAATGACACGCTGATCACAGGAAAATGCAAGTGCCGGTTCTCGGTGCACTTTCCTCACGCTGTCAGATCGTGAGGAAAGTACTGCCGAGAACCGGCAGTTGTCAGAGCGGGGGGCACCGATCATCAGGGGACTGATGATCAGTGCCCTGATGATCGGTGCCCAGCAGTGACCCCTGCAAGTTCCGATCAGCTGTGCGCCCACTAGCCCCGCCCACCCATTCCCAGCAGTGCCCCCACCTGTGCCACTCTGCAGTGCCACCTACCTGTGCCCAGCAGTGCCACCTACATGTGCCCAGCAGTGCCACCCACCTGTGCCCACCCACCTGTGCCCACCAGCGCCACCCACCTGTGCCCACCAGTGCCACCCACCTGTGCCCACCCACCAGTGCTGTCCACCAGTGCCACCCACCAGTGCCACCCACCAGTGCTGCCAGTCAGTGCCACCAGTCAGTGCCCAGGGGTTGTGCCAGTCAGTGCCGCCAGTCAGTGCCCTGAAGTGATGCCAGTCAGTGCCGTTATCAGTACCCATCAGTCAGTGTCACCTATCAGTGCCGCCTATCAGTGCTGCATATCAGTGCCGCCTATCCGTGACCCCTAATTAGTGCTGTCTATCAGTGCCGCCTATCCGTGCCACGCTCATTAGTACTGCCTATCAGTGCCCTTTAGTGCTGCCTATCAGTGCCCATAGTGCCGCCTATCAGTGCCCATCAGTGCCGCCTCATCAACGCAAATCAGTGAAGGAGAAAAAATACCTGTTTGAAAATTTTATAAAAGAAACAAATAAACTTTTTTTTTTTTTTCAAATTTTTGCACTTTTTTTAATTTATAGCGCAAAAAGTAAAGCGCCCAGTGGCGATTAAATACCACCAAAAGAAAGCTCTATTTGTGAGAAAAAAAATGAT